CAGAGTAGGGGAGTTAGTAGATGGGGAGAGGGTATTAGGGGAGAGGTATTAGGTAGATGGCGAGAATATTTTGAGGAACTTTTAAATGTTGAGGAAGAAAGGGAGGTGGTAATTTCATGCACTGGCCAGGGAGGTATACCATCTTTTAGGAGTGAAGAAGAGCAGAATGTAAGTGTGGGGGAGGTACGTGAGGCATTACGGAGAATGAAAGGGGTTAAAGCAGCTGGAACTGATGGGATCATGACAGAAATGTTAAAAGCAGGGGGAATATAGTGTTGGAGTGGTTGGTACTTTTGTTTAATAAATGTATGAAAGAAGGGAAGGTACCTAGGGATTGGCGGAGAGCATGTATAGTCCCTTTATATAAAGGGAAGGGGGACAAAAGAGATTGTAAAAATTATAGAGGAATAAGTTTATTGAGTATAACAGGAAAAGTATACGGTAGGGTTATTATTGAAAGAATTAGAGGTAAGACAGAATGTAGGATTGCGGATGAGCAAGGAGGTTTCAGAGTGGGTAGGGGATGTGTAGATCAAGTGTTTACATTGAAGCATATATGTGAACAGTATTTAGATAAAGGTAGGGAAGTTTTTATTGCATTTATGGATTTAGAAAAGGCATATGATAGAGTGGATAGGGGAGCAATGTGGCAGATGTTGCAAGTATATGGAATAGGTGGTAAGTTACTAAATGCTGTAAAGAGTTTTTATGAGGATAGTGAGGCTCAGGTTAGGGTGTGTAGAAGAGAGGGAGACTACTTCCCGGTAAAAGTAGGTCTTAGACAGGGATGTGTAATGTCATAATGGTTGATTAATATACAATGGACCCCCGCTTAATGATCATCTCCCAATGTGACCAATTATCTAAGTGTATTTATGTAAGTGCATTTGTTCGTGTATGTTTGGGGGTCTGAAATGAACTAATCTACTTCACAATATTGCTTATGGGAACAAATTCGGTCAGTACTGGCACCTGAACATACTTCTGGAATGAAAAAATATCGTTAACCGGGGGTCCACTGTATTTATAGATGGGGTCGTAAAAGAAGTAAATGCTAGGGTGTTCGGGAGAGGGGTAGGATTAAATTATGAGAAATCAAATACAAAATGGGAATTGACACAGTTACTTTTTGCTGATGATACTGTGCTTGTGGGAGATTCTAAAGAAAAATTGCAAAGGTTAGTGGATGAGTTTGGGAGTGTGTGTAAAGGTAGAAAGTTGAAAGTGAACATAGAAAAGAGTAAGGTGATGAGAGTATCAAATGATTTAGATAAAGAAAAATTGGATATCAAATTGGGGAGGAGGAGTATGGAAGAAGTGAATGTTTTCAGATACGTACTTGGGAGTTGATGTGTTGGCGGATGGATTTATGAAGGATGAGGCTAATCATAGAATTGATGAAGGAAAAAAGGTGAGTGGTGCGTTGAGGTACATGTGGAGTCAAAAAACATTATCTATGGAGGCAAAGAAGGGAATGTATGAAAGTATAGTAGTACCAACACTCTTACATGGGTGTGAAGCTTGGGCTGTGAATGCAGCAGTGAGGAGGCAGTTGGAGGCAGTGGAGATGTCCTGTCTAAGGGCAATGTGTGGTGTAAATATTATGCAGAAAATTCGGAGTGTGGAAATTAGGAGAAGGTGTGGAGTTAATATAAGTATTAGTCAGAGGACTGAAGAGGGGTTGTTGAGGTGGTTTGTTCATTTAGAGAGAATGGATCAAAGTAGAATGACATGGAGAGCATTTAAATCTGTAGGAGAAGGAAGGCGGGGTAGGGGTCGTCCTCGTAAAGGTTGGAAGGAAGGGGTAAGAGAGGTTTTATGGGCGAGGGGCTTGGACTTCCAGCAGGCGTGCTTGAGCCTGTTCGATAGGAGTGAATTGAGACAAATGGTATTTGGGACCTGACGATCTGTTGGAGTGTGAGCAGGGTAATATTTAGTGAAGGGATTCAGGGAAACCAGTTATTTTTATATAGCCGGACTTGAGTCCTGGAAATGGGAAGTACAATGCCTGCACTCTAAAGGAGGGGTTTGGGATATTAGCAGTTTGGGGGGATATGTTGTGTATCTTTATACGTATATGCTTCTAAACTGTTGTGTTCTGAGCTCCTCTGCAAAAACAGTGATTATGTGTGAGTGAGGTGAAAGTGTTGAATGATGATGAAAGTATTTTCTTTTTGGGGATTTTCTTTCTTTTTGGGTCACCCTGCCTCAGTGGGAGATGGCTGACATGTTGCAAAAAAAAAAATCTTTAATAGTTTTAATTATGTTCATATTGTACAAAATCATAATGTACAAAATATTTGGTGAAATTTTATATTTTAAAAAAAGAGTTACCATAGCATTTCATAGATATTAATTTCAGGTAAACCAGAATTCATAAATAAGAAATAATTACATAATGGATCAAGGTGATAATTTCATTTTCAAAATTGTTCATTAAATTTTTTTTTAGATAATTAGCTAACAGCTTACTTTAGTCTAGCCTTTCATGCATGTATGTAATTCAGAGCTCTTCAGTGCAAAGAAAATGTAAGTGCTGTTGTTCATCTTTTTCACATTTTCTTCTTACACAGTCTCTCCTCTTACATCTGCTTATTGACATAATAATGTTATTATTCCTCCTAGCTGGAATAATGTTAGTATTCCTCCTAGCTGGAATAATGTTAGTATTCCTCCTAGCTGGAATAATGTTAGTATTCCTCCTAGCTGGAATAATGTTAGTATTCCTCCTAGCTGGAATAATGTTAGTATTCCTCCTAGATGGAATAATGTTAGTATTCCTCCTAGCTGGAATAATGTTAGTATTCCTCCTAGCTGGAGTAACATTAGTATTCTACTTAGCTGGAATAATGTTAGTATTCCTCCTAGCTGGAGTAACATTAGTATTCTACTTAGCTGGAATAATGTTAGTATTCCTCCTAGCTGGTTACAGTTAGGTGAGTACTGTTAGGTAGATAAAGAGGGTCGAGCCTCCACCCGTTGCACTGAAAAACCCACATGCGTTTAGCACTTCATGTATTTAAATACTAAACATCCTAATTAGTCTAGATGCTTATCCTCTGGCATTTCATTAAATTTCAGACCTTAAACTAAATTTTCAGTAAACTAATCTTACTATCTTTCGAATAATTTTATTTATCATTAATATCATTAAATTTCTCCGAATGACAGTAATTGCTTGGCAGAGGGTAAATTTTAACATGGAATTACTTAGAAAGTTTGCATGCTCTGCATAATACATAGTTCTTGCTGCTACATAAATACCCTTAATGTATTGATCCATATTTCAGTTATTCATTGTAGAATATATCACTTTCACTATCATAAAAGACAGTGAGAAGTGCATGACAGGTCACATCAGTGTAGAGTGAAGATCACTGTTTCACTAAGTTACTGCAACATTGTATTAGTACACAGTTGTACTACTCTGGTTCAGTTTTGTTTTGTTTGTTATCCATGTAAGTATTATAGCCTTGTGTATTGCTATTTATGTATGCTGCATACAGATACACCCATCACATATTCTTTGGTCATGAAAGTTTTCTGTTGCAAGTAATGATAATCAGTTAGGAGCTGTGGATGATGTGGTTTTTACAAGCTTGCCATATATTAATTTTTGACATGTGAATATAAAAAAGGAGACTATTGTGGTGATTCAGTTTCAAGTTAATAATCCCTTCAATATTTCATGAATAAATTATATGTATATATTTTTAGTGTTGGTACTGTAATGAGTAATCACTATATGTAAATATTATATACAGATTAAAACTTAGGAGATATTTTGATGTGTCAAGCTCCTTTCATGTTGTTGAAAAGATAAATATTTGGTATTCTTGTAATCCTTCTCAGGCATTGAAAAAGTATAGCACTCTATTCTAAATTTTTAATTTTGTAGTTCAAGCAGTTTTTGTACTGTATATGCTTTAGGTCATTTAGTTGCACTAAGGAAAACAACCATATGTCTATACTATATGAAAGCAGTAGAAAAGATTTTAACAGAAATTTAAAATGTAAAATATTTAATTTTATATAATTTTTATTTGTATATTTATTATATGCTACTAAAAAGATACTGTTATCCTGTAAATTTACTTTTATTTAGGATATGATAGTGTAGTAACTAGAGGCCTCACATTCCTTTCCATTCCTCTGTAGATATATTCCTTGTTATTAAAAACCTCAGATTTCAGTATGTCTTGATTAATTTTGAGTAATTAATCTCTCCTTAATAAGGCTCCAAGGTATTAAACAAAGTATTATGATAATTGTTGAAATTATTTTGTTGTAGAAAACTTATGTCCAAAAGATTGGTCTTTCTAATACTGAGAGCCTAAGTACTCTACAGTAGTTAGTTTCTCATACGTGGATGTTTGTTTAAGTCGTGACATACTTCTTTAATACCTTTATTCCTCATTTCCTGAATTAATAGACCATAACTAGTTACAATATTTTGGTTAGCAAATAATCTATTTTCTGTAGATCCATATTTTGTCCTGTAAGTGTTAAATACAAATATTCCATTTTATCTAGAAAAAGTTCTCTTGTCTAATCTTGTCTCTTCTCCCACTGTATTCTTTTTGTAACTATCCTGTTCCCTGTCTTATCTTGTCTCTGTTCCCACTGTATCTATTTTATTTTGTAACTATCCTTTTCCCTGCAGCCTGTTTGTGATGGTAACCCTTAGGCACACATTCTATTGTGTGATCTTTAAATAGATTTTTCCTCTTATATAAGTGCATCTATTTTTTTTTCACTTGACTTCCTTGTCTGTACAGGGGAAGTGGCATCTATTTTTTTAGTCTTTCAATTCCATGAAGAATTTTGTGGAAAGAGTATTTTTGCAATTAGCAGCATTATATTTTTTATGCAGTAATCCTGTAGTATACTCATAGTAAATTTGAAATCTTAAAATGCAATGAAGTACTGAATTGTTCATGTTTAAAATTGATCTTTAGGTTCAACTAATTAATAATTAACATGGCATTTTTCTTGTTCAGGTTTCTCAAGAGCTTCCTACTTGAAAAACAAAGTTAAGAAACAAGGTGCCTGTCAGAATTTTTGGAAAGCAGAGAAGAGATTAAGGTAGGCTTAACAACTGAATTCCCAGGAAAACAGGTATTTATACATTTTGTTGGATTAATTCTATACATTTATACTGCTATAATTATTATGTTATTTATTAGTTAGTTAATAAATAGTTATGCAGTAATGAATAATTTAAAAGTACATGTACTTAATTACTTTTTATCTTTATAAATATATTTGTTTACCTCTTCCATTAAAATTATCTCTAGTGTAATCCTAAATTAAATTGTATTTATGTTGATGGTTAATGACTGCCTATGTTCAGATTTGGTATCAGACGGACGGTGAAGCAGCAGTGGTTCTACTGGTTTGTTATAATATTGGTGTTCCTTAACACTGCGTGTGTTGCAGCGGAACACTACAACCAACCCAAGTATCTCACAGATTTTTTATGTAAGGCTCTACTGCATTTATTCTATGATAGTTATCTCTTGTTTAGCATCATAAATTTAACCCTTAAACTGTACATAATTTAAAGTAGTTCTACAGCCACGTGGGAAATTTTACCATGTAAATCCTCGAAACAAAATTAAATAAAAGAAAACTGACCATAGAGGGGAAATTGAGTTTTAAGCATACAGTGAAAAGTATTAAAGAAAACATGTTAAATAAAGATTTGTATAAATGGTAATAAATATGCACATTTATGAATAAGGCAGGAAGAATTTCATAGTTAGTAGATAATGTGTTAATAGGTTTGGAGGATTGCAGTCATTTATGGGATATGTAACATGGCTGCTGGTGAGAAATAATGAAATTTTACGTGATCAGAACTGACTTTAGGTGTAACACATTGTGTTACACATATGCATAGCTTTTGATTTACATATAAAGTAGTAGTGCCAGGAGCAAGGGGCTAGTAACCCCTTCTCTGTAAAAACTTTCGTTTTTCTTTTTAGGTCATCCTACCTCAGTGGGAGATGGCCATTATGTTAAAAAAAATTAAAGTAGGAGAGCCAAGATAAAAGATTGAGGACAGGGTTTACACATATCACTTATGGTCTTTGATTGTGGGTGCTCCTGTTTCTCTGTGATTTCTGACATGCCACTTTGTTTGGCACGTTTTATTTCTGTCCTTGGCTTCGCTTTTTTCATTTTAGTTGGGATTTTTATAACCGTTGGTAATCTTTGAGGGCCTCAGGGAAGTTTTAAGGGAATCTTTTATTACAATTTATACCTGTCTATCTCACAAAAGGGACAGGCTCATGTTACGATAATCAAAATTTTGGACAAGAGCTTCAGAAGTTTGGGTGGCATCAGCTGAAGGTTAACTTTAATATTTACATTTGATAATTTTAAGTCTGGTGGCAGGTTGCATCACCTACTGGACTGATATATTAGACACATGTGCAACACTTGGGTATCTTTATTGTGGAAATGTTTCACCACACAGTAGCTTCATCAGTCCAGTATGAAGAAGAATGGTGAAAATCAGAAGTTTGAAGTAATCAGTCCATCAGCCTGGAGTTGATGTAATCAGTCCATCAGTCTTGATGGACTGATTATATTAACTCCAGGCTGAGGGACTGATTACCTCAAACTTCTGATCTTCACCATTCTTCTTTGTATTGGATTGATGAAGCTACTGTGTGGTGAAACATTTCCACAATAAAGATACCCAAGTGTTACACATGTCTGATTTATCAACTTGTCGGTTCTCTGAACCATTTATCTATATCTACTGGGTTGACCACTCTGTGGCCTGTAAATCCTTCCAACACAGCTAGGTGTTCAGAAATGTTATTGCCACTCCAGTCAAGATTAATATTTGCTTTACCAAAGCGTTGGACTGCTCAATTCAGGATTAAGACATACATACATAATGGAAGAATAAATAATTGTATGTATGTGATGATAATTTTAGGGAAAGTGAGGGATAGATACACAAATGGTTTCATTTCTTCATAGAGCTATGACTGTAGTTGGAATAAAAAAAAGATGGTTTCATGACACCGTGAAAGGGTTAAATACTCTATGCTGTAATATTGTTTTCAAAAATGTTTAGTTTAATGATTTTTGCATGTTTAGTTGACATAATGTCTGGGAATATATGTACTACATAAAATAATTTTTCTGTTCTAGTTTTTTTTTTCTTGAATCTCAAAAGCTAAAAAAGGATAGAAGACTTACAGTTCCTTTTAAAGTGTGAGTAATTCTTAGTTTGACAATAATTAATGTGTATTGATAATTATTTATCTTTTTTTCAGACTATGCAGAATTTATATTTCTAGGTCTATTCATATCTGAGATGCTTATAAAAATGTATGCCCTGGGCCCAAGAATGTATTTTGAGTCCTCGTTTAATCGATTTGACTGTGTCGTCATCAGTGGCTCTATATTTGAAGTTGTTTGGTCAGCCTTCAAGTCTGGGTCATTGGTCTGTCTGTGTTACGAGCCTTGCGCTTGCTGAGGATATTTAAAGTTACAAAGTAAGCATATTAGTTACAACTTTATTTAATTTGTCAAAACATACATTACAGGTCAGCCATCACTAATCCAGCAATCAGTAATCCAGTTCCATCAGTAGTCCTGCACTAATTTCAGCTAGCATAATTTCAAATTTCTTGGGTCACCACACCAACTTGCCGCTACTGTTTGGTGGCACTACTTACTGCATGAGTCATTCCAATTTCTTTTCTCCATTTATTGTTGTAACCTGCTCACTTTTAGCCCTAGCCATGGTTCCAATGAATAAAAAGAAATGTTTCTCATTGTGTAAAGCACATACACTGTACATTGTCCATAAAAGATAAGGTGGCTTTGAAGGCACTGTCGGTCGCCATGAGTTCAGCTCATTCAGATAAACTGTGACTGGTAAATTTGGGCCTACATATGAAAGAGAGGTCTGTGTGTAAGTGTGCACTATATAAAAAAAATCATGCAGTACGCAGTGCATAATGAGAAAAAACTGCGACCCTGCCTTTGGTGTAAAACAGCGACTTTGCGGTGTGTATTTTCATGTGGTTTGTATGGTTGTATGCTAGTTTTTTTATCTCATTTGATAGAACTGAAGATATATTACAGAAATAGATATAATTTTGATTGGTTTCTTGCCAGAAAATACCTTAAAATTAAGCTCAAAGTAGTGGAAATGTTTTGATTTTTGCCGATGTTCAAGAGTAAACAAATGACGTCACTGTCCAATTGGCCAGTCTAATATGCAGTCATGAATGGGTTGACATTATTTATACAATTATTACAATAATGCAGTAGTCTGCATAACAGTAAGTCTTCTATTTTTTGTGTGAATAAAAATTCAAAATGAAAAGCAGGCGTAATATAAGAGGGGCCTGGAGACGTGGCTAATGAACAGAGAAAATGTTATTTTAGTGCCAAGAATGTCTGCAATGTTTATTCTGGACCCTATTTTGAAATTGGCATCTCTTGAAATTTGTGTGAAATTGGCCAAATTACCGATTTCTGACCACTTTATTGAGTAGTTGAAATAGGTAAATAGACAGTTTTTTGTACTCGGTCAACAGAATTGAAGAAATACTAGCGAAATAGCTATGAGTATGGTAGACTAGAACAATGGAATAGGCCAAAAATTGGGCATAAAGCAGGTGAAATCGCTGATGCATAACCACTCTGTAGTCCGGCAAAAATCACTAATCTGGAACCGTACAGGTCCCGATAATGCTGGATTAGTGATGTTCAACCTGTACTAATTTCTTGTTTATGTACAAATATTGTTAGAAGGTTGTTTTTAATTGTTCTTTTGCAGCAGTGTTAAGGAAACCTAGAAGTAAAGGACAGCACTAAAACCTAATTCATTTGACAGTAAAATAAATTATATTATAGTCATTCAAATTTTCTGATTCATTTTAAATGATATTTAAATTTAGTTTTAATATTATGGATACCAGATTCTTTATTTCAGCATGATACAATGTTTGTACAGAGATGGATAACATTTAGGTGTGCATGTAGAAAGCCCTCATTAAAGGCAATTTTTTATTGATTGCTTATTTGTATGATATTAAGTGGTTTTAACAATAAACACTTTTATCGAGTTTTATTGTTTTAAGAATTACAGGTTGGCTTATGATTACCGGTAATGAGGATTGTAGTATTAGCACTAATTGTGCTTTGAGTAGTTAAGTTTTAGAGGAATATTTCTTATTTATGGATCAGTCATTATGATCTAAGGATAAACTAGAAAATATGTGCTAATTAATTATCATTAATGGAATATAAACATCATCAAGTTTTATTCAACGTTATTATTCTAATTTTTTTTTTTCAACAAACCAGCTGTATCCCACCAAGGCAGGGTGGCCCAAAAAGAAAAATGAAAGTTTTTCTTTTTAAATTTAGTAATTTGTGCAGGAGAAGGGGTTACTAGCCCCTTGCTCCCTATTATTCTAATTATTCAAATTATTTTTGCAGGTACTGGTCCTCGCTACGGAACTTGGTTATCTCTCTGTTAAGTTCAATGCGCTCCATCATCTCCCTCTTGTTCCTGCTCTTCTTGTTTATCCTCATCTTTGCACTCCTGGGAATGCAGCTTTTTGGTGGCTCTTTCAATTTTCCTGAAGAAACACCCTTAGCCAACTTCAATACTTTCTCCATAGCACTGCTCACTGTATTTCAGGTGAGTTTGCACATAGAATATGTATATTAATATTTAACCAGACTAGAGACCTGGAGGTGGGAAGGCTGTGCCTGCACCCTGAAGGAGCGGTGGAGATGTTGCAATTAGAGGGTGGTATGAATTATGATGTTAATGCACATCTGGCAGACAGTGATTGAATGAATGTTGGTGAATGTGTATTCTTTGGGTCACTGTACCTAGATGGGAGATGGGTGTTGATGTTATATATGTATGTATGGAAGTGGGAAGTACAGTGCCTGCACTTTAAAGGAGTTTGGGATATTGCTGTTTAGAGTGACATATAAGCTGTCATATCTGCAATGTCTCTGCAAAAATATTGATAGTATGAATAATGGTGAAAGTGTCTTTTTTTTGGGGGGGAGGGGGGATCACTCTGCCATGGTGAGAGATGGCCGTGCTAGAAAAAAAGTGTATGTACAATGGACCATTATATTACATGGTAGTTACGTTCCTGAAAACGCTGTGTTAGGTAAATCCGTGTTAGATAAACTGAACAACTTATGGGAAAAATAGGGTTACCTTCCTTAGAGCCCCCACAGAGCAAAACAACTTTTTTTCTTTAGACCTCCACATCTTGCAAAAATAAAAGTGAATATGTAATTGTAGTTCATTGTCGTGATGTATTATGTTTTTACTGCTTAAGACTACAAATGCAACAGAAATAATAGTATTTTTTACCCTAAATTGTGCGTGCTGGTGTTTGTGGATGATTGTGAAGAGAGTGGAGAGTTATGTTGTGGTCCTACTGGGCTGAGGTGGATGGTAGAGGTTCTGGTACTGAAGTCGATGGAGTGTGTATAAATTCTGAAATGGATTTCTGGGCTATTTTACCCTGCAGTACATTATACAGCTGATGGTAAGGTATCAGCTGCTGTAGACACCATTTCAGAGCACTGCTTCTGGATTTGTCAGGGTCCTCTTCAGTGAAAAAGTCTAACTTTATGTCAGTAAGTCAGTCAAGTCAGTAAGTCAGTCAGTAAAGTAAGTCAAATAAGTCAGTCAAGTAAGTCAGTAAATTAGTAAGTCTATCAGTAAGTCAGTCAAATAAGTCATTCATGCCAGTCAGTAAGTCAAATCAGTAAGTCAGTCAGTCAGGTAAATCAGTCTGTCAAGTAAGTTAGTAAATCTGTCAAGTAAGCCAGTAAGACTTCATTAACTCTGAGAATTAAACACATACCTTTTCTTGCCACTTTGAGCAGCACTCGTATGCCTACTGGGTACCATGATTGCTTGGCATATACAAGATATGGCAATTAAAAGATCAAAACACAATTCACAAACACAGCTAGCTCCTAGGAGGCACTCGTACTGGACGTGTATGGATGAAGGCTGGGATTGGGGTGGCAGGAGTGTTGGGGGTGGCAGGGGATGGCAGTAGGTCTCTTCCCCTGCTGACACAATGGTCTGACCCACAGCAAGGCAGCAGCTCAAGCTGGGGAAATTTTTTCTTCTCCCGCAAACAGAACCGTGTTAAGTTAACTTTACAAAGTGTTGTATAAAATTGTGCTGCAAATTTTCAGTACTGCAATAACCAAAACATTGCAAATAAATCTGTGTAATATAACGGTCTACTGTATGTATTTTTTTTCTAACACATTGGCCATCTCCCACTGAGGCAAGGTTACCCAAAAAAGAAAGAAACACTTTCACCATCATTCACACATAATCACTGTCTTTGCAGAGGCACCCAGATACGACAGTTTAGATGTCACTCCAAACATAAGCCATTATTGTCATAAGAAGCGACTAAAATGCCAGGAGCAAGGGTCTGGTAACCCCTTCACCTGTATGAATTACCAAATTTAAAAAGAGAAACTTTCATTTTTCTTATTAGGTCACCATGCTTTGGTGGGATATGGCCAGTTTGTTGAAAAAAAAAAAATATGCATAACCCTTATGGGCTTAGTGTTTCTCATCTTAGATAGAATTATTTAAATAATGAATTATGTTTCAGATCCTAACAGGTGAGGACTGGAATGAAGTGATGTACCAGGGAATTGCATCTCAGGGTGGTACAAAGTCTGGTATGATCTACAGTCTTTACTTCATCATCTTGGTGATATTTGGTAACTACACTCTTCTCAATGTCTTCTTGGCTATTGCTGTTGATAACTTGGCTAATGCGCAAGAGCTCACAGCTGCTGAGGAGGAGCAAGAGGAAGAGGATAAGGAGGTCAGTATTAAAGATTGGAGTACAATACTGTTTTATATAAAAATTTACTAACTTACAGCATTAGTAAAATCGGATTCCAAAAATCTAATTGAGGTTTAAGGAGGAGCATTTATCAAAGGCTGTATTACCACATGACTTAGATACACTAGTGAAATGTTTTAACAATTACACAGTAATACCCAAAATATGTCATAAGTTTTGTAGTTATTGCAGACTATCTTGTAATGGGTAAAATGTGAACTTATAGTAAAAACCATCACATGCCAGCATCTTGGGACCAAAAAATCTAGTAGATGAGTGTATGGCAGTTTTGACCTCCAGACACTTTGCAACAACACTGTATACTGGTATACTATACACAGAATATTGTTAAAAATGTTGGCTTACCTTGAAATGTGATGTTATTATAATATGACTTGATATAGAACAAAAGCATCCTGTGTGCACTTCCCAGGCCAGTGTTTACCCAAAAAAGTCAGTCAAAGGTAATAAGTCACTTTGACTTTTTTGGGTTATCTACACTATGTATGATAATTGTACTTATGTGTACCTGTGCCTAAACAAACTTTCCACTGTGTATTGTGCACTGATAAACCATTAAGAAATCAGCTTTTTCTTGTTAATGAAATATTTTAAAATGTAATACACTGCCAAAATAGGACAAGGAAGAGATCTGTTAAAAAATAAAACTACTGAATAAGGAGAGTATATGGGTTTAATAATTTTTTAAATTGTTGGCTCATGATGAGACACATGGCAAGAATACAGTGTAAATGCAACTGCTGAAAATATTAAAATAAGAAGAAAAAACTAGTTCTTCAATTTTTAAATTAAAGGTTATTTCTGTTCTTTTGATTTTTTTTGAAAATTAAGGGAAAATTCACTGTGTGTACACATGCATGTGTGTAAAAAAAAAAACAGAAGACATCAAACAGTATTGATATAATAGTAAAGTAATAAGTTCTTGAAAAAGGTACAGTGAAGAGTACAAAAATATATTGTAAGTAAATGCTAAGCTATGTTGTAAATATAACCTTGTAAGTAAAGTTATAAACTTGTTAAGAGGCCTGAAGAGCAAAAGTCAAAATAGATAACAGTATTTCACCTTAAAAATATAAACAAATTTGATGATATATTGTAATTTAATTTTCACCGTGCTCGTCTCAGTTTGTTTATAATACAACAACTAATCAGTGCAAAGTTGCCAGATTGGCCACTGTTGTAATCCCAAAGAAGGAGGACCTGCCTAGCATGGGCCAGTAGGCCTGTTTCATTGCTTCTTTATTTTTATGTTTAACAAGTATTTAAGCCGACTATTTCTTGGTGTTTGTCATCCCCAGCAAAACCTAGACTTAATGCACCTCAATTTAAGGGATTTTGGATTTAATGGACAAACTCCATTGTCAGACAAGGTCCATTGTTTCCAGAATTGTTCACTATTGTTATGGTCAGCTTTGTAAATTGATTTTGGATTTAACGGACAATATTTCCAAAATTTTAAATTACTAGAAATGGGTAAAAATTCTCAGCATTCAGATATAACAGACAGTCAGGATTACTGTTCACCCTCTCCTCCATATTTGTCTGTAAATTGAGGTTTCACTGTATACTGTATACTATTGTGAAGTTTTCAGCACTTTTCATTTTCAGTGTTTTTTCAAAGTTTTGGCTAGAATATATGTCATATCACCTGGAGTATACTCCAGTGATATGACATATACAACCATTTGGCTCCTTAAGTCCCTCAGAAACTAGAATAAACTTGTACGTGAGATATATGAAAATTAAGGATTTTTTTTTTTTTATGCCAGAAAAGTCAGGCATGTGCCTATATATGCCATCAGGTTATGTGGCGGTAGATACAGTACTATGGGTCTACTTAACCATCTAGCCACAATATGAGTGGGGTTAGAACCCATGACAAGTGAGTCATAAAACTCCAGGCCACTTGCTGTGGGTTCTAACCCCCACCCGCATTGTGGTTTGTTTACAGTTTGTGTTATTACAATTTCATGAGTCATACTTAACCATATAGTTTCACACTACATAAATATTTTGGTTTACTTTTTAAACATGATGAGTTTTACAGAATATTAATTGAGAAATGTGAAGATAAGATTTATTTAGGTGTTGAAAGTGTTGAATGTCTGCCTCTTTATTGTGTTATTATCATGTTTGTGCTGTACATCAGTTTTTTTGCACTATCAAGAACACATTTTGATATATTTTAGTCTGTGGTAGATGTGGAGAAAATCTTATTTATATGCATTAGGTCAATGTTCAGCTTTATAATGATCTAGCCTAGAAACTTATTGAAAGTTTCATTATAGTTATATTTAGATACTTTTCTTAATTACCTTTTAAATTTTGAACACATCACATGTAGGACATATATGTTATATCCGTTAATGGTAGGAAATTTTTGTGTGTTTATTATACATTAGGCCAGAAGGTAATTTTTGTGTGTTTAGTTCATACATAATGAGAATAAACATTACTGTGCCTTCTGGACTGGAACTTATTAATAAGAATGGATTTTTTTGCTTTGTAGGTTGTTTTAATATGTTATTTAGTAAGTGTTGTTCAGTGTAAGTTGTATCTTTATGAATAGTGAGCTTTCAGTTTAACTTAGATATTATATGAATGTGGATAGGTGCTGCATCATTAACAACAATAGACATTTTATAGTACTTGTAGATTTTATATCAGCTTTTTTGTTAACAAACTAAGTGTCTTCGCTTTTGTAGGATAATTACTCGTGAGTAAAAATAGCGTGAAAATTTTTCTCAGATTTTTACTTAATTTTTTTCTTATCTCTGTCTGCTTGCCCGGAACTGACGGTAACCCCTCACACAACTACCGTCTGGCACTCGTCTACTGTTTTCGATCATGGGCTGTGATCGATACCCCATTTTCTGTGTTCACATTAACATGGTTGCTCATTTATATATTTTTCCTGATTGTCTTGTGATGGATAAATTTTTGTTTCTCTTTTCAACATGAATATATTTTTCATTTTTAACAGAGTATTACAATCTAGCTGCACAAAACACTTTTAAAAATATCTTGCACAAGTCACTTATTGTTACATTGATGTCACTGTAGTTATTCTGTGTTGTATTTCCATACAGCATACACTTCTTAAGTAGTGCTTTTTTGTTCACAGTTTAGTGAATGCATTAAAAACATCACTACTGCCTTCATGGATGTGGCCTAATTGAAACTCCTTTCTGATTTTTTTTTTTTTTTTGGAAATTCGATGCAGGCCTAGTCTGTTTAGTCAGTTTATTCAACTTGCAGATCCTGTAGTTAGCAGTACTTCTCTGGTAGTGCAGTCATAGTGAATGCAATAGTGCTTCTGTTGGTAACTCAGGTCATCCCTGCTTCTCTGTACTGGTCACCTTATGCCTTCGTCTTTAAGTTTGGTCATCACTGTCATTTTTAAAAGATGCATTTTGATGATTAGAATCTTGAGGTGATCTTTTAGAAATCTATGTGGGTGTGTATGTATTGTTTGTTTTTGTTGTTTGTATGTGTGCTTTTTTTATTTTTTCACATTTTTGTTTTGTACGAGAGTATATTAGAGTATAATGGTACCAATACTATTTGGGTGTGAAGCATGGTTGTAAATGCTGCAGCAAGAAAGAGGCTGAAGGCAGTGGGGATGTTATGTCTAAGGGCAGTGTGCAGTGTAAATATTATGCAAAGAATTCATCGTGTGGAAATTAGGAGTAGTTAATAAAAATATTATTCAGAGGGCTGAAGAGGGGTTGCTGAGGTGGTCTGGTCATTTAGAGAGGATGGAGCAAAATAGGATGACTTGGAGGGTCTATAAATCTGTAGTGGAGGGAAGAAGGGGCAGAAGTCATCCTAGGAAAGGATGGAGGGAGAGGGTAAAAGAGGTTTTGTGTGCAAGGGGCTTGGACAAGCAGCAGCATGTGTGAGTATGTAACATAGGAATGAATGGAGATGAGTGGTTTTTGGGACCTGCTGAGCTGTTGAAATGTGAGCAGGGTAATATTTTATGAAGGGATTCTGGGAAATGTTAGCTGGACTTAGTCCTGGAGGTGGGAAGTACAATGCCTGCACTTGAAAGGAGAGGTTCAGGATATTGGCAGTTTGGAGGGACGTCTCATCTGTCGTATCTGAGTGCCTCTACAAAGACAGAGATTATGTATGAGTGATGGTGAAAGTGTTGAATGATAATGAAAGTTTTTTCTTTCTTTTTGGGTCACCCTGCCTCGGTGAGAAGCGGGCGATGTGTTGAAAAAAAAATAGTTTACTTGATATGTCCTACTTTTGCACCTGTTTGTACAGAACTCTAATATATTTGATTGTTTTGCATGAAATCTGTTATTATTTTGTGAATCTAATTACCCTCTGTGATTAAACACATTCTGGAATCCACATAAAATTTTTCTTACCATAAACTAATTAAGATATCAGTCATGTTAAGAAACATCTGCTTGTGTAACCACAAATGCACTTGATCCAGTGGGTGATATTTGTATAACAATGTAGATCCTTTCCAAAATCTGTATTTTTTCTTAGTATTATACTACTGTACTCCATATTTGAGAAAGCTTCCAACCTAGTTTTAGGAAATTTTAATAACCAAAGTTGTCCATAAGCTAATTTTTACAAGGCCTGTCAAATCTGGGCTTTTTTTTTTATAAATAAATATAAGCTTTTTTTTTAATCATATCAGTTTTGTCAACAAATATTTTTGGCAGTTAGAAATTATATGCCAGATGTTTGTCAAAAGATTTTCCTTTTGTTTAAATGAATGAACAAAAAGCACGAGCTCTATTTTGTATCATCATTTCACAGTTTCTTTTCCCTTTGCCACTGCCACAGTTACTAACCCCCTTTCCTCCTCAAGAAATGCCTTTAAACATTTTATTCAAGGTTGTAGAATAATCCAAAAATTCGAAATCCTGTTGGGAGCATTTTCTCCTTAGCACACCTGACTGTTCAGAATTGAGGGTGAAAATAGGGTCAAGAACTAAGAAACTTCTTTGTCATGTTCTCACAGAAGTTTCATTAACATACGCCCTGCAACATCCAACTTTGTATTTTTGTATGTATTGTAGACTCTCGAGTAACATGCATTCCAGCAACACTTTTTTCATTACAACATTTGAAGTAGTATGGGAGGAGGACCATATAGCACACTGTAAATTTAGAGAAAAATATGCCACACTCTAGGATTTCTTTGCCTCTGCATGGCAGTAAACCTACAGGAGAGGTCATTGTTTTTATAGGGGCAGCCTCACTCTTAATGCAAAAACCTCACTCTCAGCCAGTTCACCTTGTGTGTGTGTGTCCCATGCTGAAGCTGTCATGGTATTGAAACTCAGTTGTTAGTAGATGATGGTTGTAGTGGAGCTCTCAGGTGTTCAATATAAATTTCTGCTCTATTTATCCTGCAGAGGCATAATTGCCTACTTCAGTTTTCCAACATGTGTCATGGTCTTTTTCAGTGCAAGTCTTTGGCTTTACCTAAAGGATGCAGCATTTCCTGTAAATTTTTGAGTTTCTTCTATGTTGGTTCACATTATTTCTCATCCTCTTCTGTTATCTGCCCCTCAGTCTCAGGACTGAGCTTCTCCAACTTTTTTTTTTTCAGATTTAACTTTGTCATCATCTTGTAACAGTTCATTTGTTTTCTGCATATTATGAAAGCTCTCACTTGACACTGTCCTTGCTAGATTCACAATTTCCTGGACTGTCTATTGGGGATAAACCTGCCAGTACGGTAGAAAGTACAGTTCCTTCACTCTGAAGGAGAAATGGAGATATGTTGCAGTTTCTGAACTGTAGTATAAGCACACCTCTGGCAAGACAGTGATGGAATGATTGATGATAAAAGTGTTTCTTCTTTGTCTGGTCACCCTTCCTAGGTGGAACATGGCTAATGTGTTTAAAAACAAAAATAAATAATAATAATGATGATAATGTTTATTTCCTTGAACATACATATTTATGTGGCTCGAAGAAATAAACTGGTTCTTATTATTATTATTATTATTATTATTATTATTATTATTATTATTTTTATTGCCTTTGGTGTGTTAGATTTGTGCCAGATCTCTGGTACTCCACTGTGTGGGTCATCATCCATTGCTATAGTGAGTTTCTGCACCACCCTGAATGTGTATCAACAAGGAAATGTATCGATCACTCCTTCATCCAGTGGTTTTATTGAGAATATTGTATTTAGTGTCAAGAAGACAATCCTTACATTTGGGGTTGTAGACTGCAAGTGCTGAGAATGGCAGTGAGAGTTATCAAGAGTGACTATAACCTAGAATGAAGAATTCTTTTGTACATCTTGACAGAAGAAATAAAATGATTCTTGAGCCACTCAACAAACAAGTTCTCACTCATCCATGCTGTTTTGTTAGACTGCCAAATAACAGGACAAGTTATTTTGTCTGCCATTTAAAGCACAGGTATTTTGGGAATGGTAGATGACTGTTGGCTTGCACCTGAAATACCAATGCATTACCTCACAGAAGCAAGCTCAGGTAATCAATAGCTGTCCAGAATCTAGGTGCACTTTTGTCTTGCTTGTTGATGTAAGTTCTAGATGATATCTTAATCCAAAATATACCTGCTTTGTCTACATTGAACACTTGATCAGACTTGTAGCTCCCCATGGGAACAGTTTTCTCCAGCTCGGCAGGAAAATTCTCGGCAGCAGCATAGCAAATGCACTCTCTCCACTTAATTTAATACTGTGCAGCCAACTGCTCATTTTAAAATGGTTAAATTGACCAAAACCAGACAAGCACTTTTGTGTTGGGTTTCCTTACTATTCACATGCTGTCTTGTAGCATGATTGGACATGCTATCTTATTACCAGCCATTATGTAAGGCACATTTGTTTTCTGTTGAATCCACACACTTAGTAAATTTTCTCTCATATTTAGCTGTATTGACCTCTTTCCCATTATTTTTAACTTGTCATAATCAGAATTGCTCACTGCACAAGGTCTTATCTTCCCCAAATTTACTGCATGCTGTGGCATGCTGTACATAATATTTCCCATGTAACACGGGAATGGAAAAGATTTTGTTACTGTTTTCTTGAAAATGTACTGCGTGAACGCATGTTACATGATAATCTACTGTATATACATTTCTTGTTTGAATGTATGTGATACTAATAGCATTGAATCTCTTTAAATTAAATGAGGTTAAAAACAAAAGAAATCAAAGCCTAATGTTGTTTAGTATGTTACTTAGTGATCCTCTTTTGCACCTCTTAACTCTGGTTGGTTATAAACAATGTGAAAAAATTGCTGTCAACAATTTTCGATTAATTTTGTGATTTTTATCTGCAGTCTCAACACCTCCCAGATCCTGAAAGTCTCATTCCCCTACAGAAGCAGCAAGCAGAGCATGAAAAAGAGTTAGAAGCACTGCAAAACAATACAGACGGTCCTCCGAAGGTAGAAATATGTCCACCATCACCAGGTGGAGAGAGCAAGATGAAGTAAGTCTCTGAGGTTTTTATGATGTGACTTACTCTTCATGGGAGATGTCTTAATTCTGGTAAAGGATTCTTGATCCTGGGAATTGGAGTTACCCAAAAATAATTACCCTAACCCCTTCCATTTTCCAGGTGTTGTATGACCCTTATGGGATTAGCACTTTTTGATGAATATAATAATAATAATCATAGTAATATAATAATATGATAGAACATGTAAAAATAAACATCACAGGAGAAGGAGGAGGAGGAGGAAGGTAATAGATAACAGACATTGTATTTTTGACTCCATTAGTTTACAATTTCTTTGATGTTTGCAATGAGCAAGCAAGAAGAAAGAGGTGGAGGGAGATTATGTAATGTGCACTTGAGAAGAAGTTTTGTATTTTCTTCTTTTTTCAGTCTTGTTACAAAAGAGTATTAATGATGGCTGTAAGAGAGAGAGAGAGAAAAGGATAGAGAAAAAGAGAGAGAGAGGAAAGGGGGAGAGCAGTAGTAATTTTAACACTCGGAAATGCATCATAGAAATGAATTACTGTGAATATGGTATCTTGTCATGTGTGTTGTGATGCTAAGTCTAAGATTAAAAGAATGAAGCAGAAAGAAAATTCTTCCCGCTGATTATTTGTTTAATGATTTTAAACATTATTTGAGTGGTTATAAACTTAATGGTCTTCATTGCTCCCTCACCTCTTTCTCAATCCCTATTTATTTATTTTCTATGTGCCCTTTACTTGTAATTTTTATTTGTCACCAGCATTTACATCAGGTGTAGCCACACAATCTTGAATAGAATTTACTAGAAATTCCTTGTATATGTGAATATAAATTATTGCATCCACGGACAAATGTTTTTTAAGCAGTTAACAAACTGTGATTCTCCAGGGATTGAACACGTGTTATTTTAGCCCACCTCGTGAGAAGCAGGTCAAAATTCATGACGCTTTAACCACTGAGCCATGGGTAGGATTGATGGCTCAGTGGTTAGTGTGTTGTGGATTTTGACTTGCTTCCCATGAGGTGGGCCAGAATAACATGGGTTTGATTCCCGGCCGGTCGCAGTTTGTTAATAAGAACAAATGTTTACTTTTGGGTTACACGTGTTGCTGCTTGTATCCAACCACTTTATACATCTTTTATTTCTTCATTCACTTTCACTGGCATTTGTTCTGCTCTGCCCTTTATCAGTTGTCAGATCTTAGGTAGATATATATCACTCCATAAATAGCTCACATATAGAAAACTTTCGATGAATTTTCGGTCCATCCTGAACCATTGTCAAGTCACAACTAAGCATAGAAAAGTGGAGAAGAACCAGAAGACTTGTCAGGAAGAGGGAGAAAGAAGGTGATAGTAATAGTAGTAATAGCAGAAGAAATAGAAATAGTAGTAGCTCCAGCCAGGATATTGTGACTTTTATTATGTTATATCTAGGAATTCAAGATAAATATGGAATAAAAGGATAGATGTTTGCAACACTTGAATGTGATGTGGGATTGAGCCTTAAAGCTTTACCCAGCAATTCATTGCAGGAGATTCATAACAGTAAGGAAAAATCAACACTTAGAGAGCCTTGTCACTAACTTTCAGAGCATCCCTCAAAAAATTGAAAACAGTCAAGGATTCAGCAATAATAAAAGTTTATTTACCTTTTATTATTAAAAATAATTGGAATTTTTCTTGTAGTCGATGTTAAGTTAATATACATTAAACTGTAAAATTTGATATACTGTACTATACTGTACTTATATTCTCTAGCACATTGAGTTTCTTGCACAAACGTACCAGTATTTTAAAGTAAATAAATGAATACAAATTATGGACTTGCCACCTTCATGCTGGGTAATTATCTTAAGTTTCATCTAAAAAGTAATTGCTTTTGTACCATCTTAAATTCACAATATCATAAGTTGAATCATGGTAAGTCAGGGAGCACCTGTATATTTTCTCAGTCTTTTGTAATGTACCAGTGTACTTACCTAGTTTAGTTGAGCTTAGCAGGCACAGCTCATGGCTGAGCATTTCCATTATTCCAAATATTATTTACCAAGCATGCACCCCTGCCCACAGCAGCAAACGGGATGCAGACAAAGAAGATAAAGATGCGGAAAATCAAGAAGACGACATGGGGGGACCAAAACCTATGTTACCATATTCATCCATGTTCATCCTCTCACCCACAAACCCGTGAGTCTCTCTTAAATTAGTCATTTTGAAATCCTGTACCTGCTATTTAAAAGAAAAGTTTGAGGAGGAGAATGCCATAGAATGGAACAACAGTTGGTGAGGATGCAAAAAACATTATAATTCAACTTCATACATCTGTCAAGTAGTGGGAAGAATGTGTTTACAGGGAAGATATGCAGCAGATATATTGACAGTAATTCTTTTGTTTAAAATAAAAATTGGTGTTAATAAATGAGTCATTACCCAGTCACGTTTCTTATGTGTATACTGTAAAATAATGAATAATCAAAATTTACCACTATAACCTGTGTCCAGTTTTAAGTAGTCTGTAAGCATGTTAATGGCTTTTTTTGTACTTAGCAACATTATATAAAATGTAAATCACACATTGTAACCTTTGTAAAGAAATAAAAATGATACTGTATTGTACTGTAATGTCTTTCTCACATTCCAGAATTCGGAGAGCAGCGCATTGGGTAGTAAACTTGCGCTACTTCGATTTTTTCATCATGATCGTCATCAGTTTATCAAGTATTGCCTTGGCCTCTGAAGACCCTGTCAGAGAGGACTCAGAATGGAACGAGATTCTGAATTACTTTGATTATGCCTTCACTGGAGTTTTTGCTATAGAGATGATTCTAAAAGTAAGTTGTAAATACTAATGCAAATTACATTATTATAATCAAGTTAAGTGTTTCTTATATAAAAATATGCTTATTATTGATTAGAATATAATATACATAATACAGGTCTTCGTGCATTAGTGCATTATTTAATTTGAAATTATGTTTCTATTGTGAATATGATTTTTCAGTTTTTAGAGTTGAATGATTGTCATAGATAATGCTTTGCATAATGATTGATCATATTCAATTCTAGGACACCACCCAGCTTAATCATGAGGCATTTTGAAACCTTTTAAAATCTCTTGGATTAATTTTCTACAGATTTTTGAACACTCTGAATCATCTTTAAAGCATGGTTTATTTATCTTAGAGTAAATTTAAAAGCATGTTAATATTTTTTTTCTTAACATGTTGGCTGTTTCCCACCGAGGCAGGGTGATCCAAAAAGAAAGAAAACCCCATAAAGAGAGAAAAAACATTCATCATCATTCAATACTTTCACCATCACTCATCACTGATCAGCCGGGCTGTGGCTCGTACGTTGGTTTGCATGCAGCCAGCAGCAACAGCCTGGTTGATCAGGGGCTGATCCACCAGGAGGCCTGGTCACAGACCGGGCCGCGGGGGCGTTGACCCCCGAAACTCTCTCCAGGTAAACTCCAGGTAAACATAATCACTGCCTTTGCAGTGGTGCTCAGATACAACAGTTTAGACGTCCCTCCACACTGCCAGTATCCTAAACCCCTCACTGAAAGTGCAGGCATTGTACTTCCCATTTCCAGGACTCAAGTACAGCTAACCGGTTTTCCTGAATCCCTTCACAAAATATTACCCTGCTCACACTCCAACAGCTCGTCAGGTCCCAAAAACCATTCATCTCCATTCACTCCTATCTAACATGCTCATGCATGCTTGCTGGAAGTCCAGTCCCCTTTCCCATGAAACTTCCTTTACCCCCTCCTTCCAACCTTTTTGGGGACGACCCCTACCCTCCATGGGGAAGTGGAATAAGAATCTTTCCTCCGTAAGCCATGCGTGTTGTAAAAGTCAACTAAAATGCTGGGAGCAATGGGCTGGTAACCCCTTAATAATATAAGTCACAATATCATGCTGGAACATTTTGGAAATAACCCAGGAATTGAAAATGAAATCTGGACAACATTTTGCTCCATCTTAGGCTGTTATCAAGTTGTAAACGAAGTAGAAAATTAATGAAAGCTAGAAATTAGTTTAAGGTGAAAGGAGGTGGAGAGACAAAAACAAAGCTGGTGTTATCATTCATGTTAGGAAATTTGTGTCTTGGGGCTAATTAAGAGATGGTGTCTGTTACCTGTTAAGGTCCAAAGAGGATTAGATAATTTTGGAAGAGGATCAGGTTATGAGATAACTATGATCTCTGTTGCTAGTGCACTCAGCTCACACATTGAGGTCCATGGTTTGATCCCTGGTACAGATGGAAGCATTTGAACATGTTTTCTTAAGACACCTGCTGACCCATTTCACTTAGTAAATAGGTACCTGGGTGTTAGCCATTTGTTGTGAAGTTGCATCCTGGGGACAGAATTAACATAAGTTACCTGAAATAATCGGTTTAACCAGGGACTTTCTATATAGTATGTCTGTATATGTTGTACATGTGCTTGTAGAAATAAAGATTATTATTATAATTGTATTATTACAGAAAAAAGTGTGCTAGTGTTAGCATACTAAATACTTTTTATGTTCTCTTAAGGCTATTCTCCTTGTTGAAAAATTGCTTCCAGCTCTCCAACCCACTTCTGCTGTGAAGACTCCAGTATTTTATTTTTGCTGTATTTCTAATTTATGGAGACTTAATTACACACCTCTCTCTACAGTACAATACAATCTGAATATTAAACGTAAATTTTGTCAACTAAAGCATTTCATAGAAAGCTGGTTCATGCTACCTTTTCTTCTGTGGATAGTTTGTGTTTATTATCTTTCCTACTCCTGTTACTCTCTCCAATAATTTTCTGTACCTAGCCACTGGTACTAACAGCACTCTTTTCTGACGTGTTAGAGACCATAGCTGTCCTATAAGCTGGTCGTCTTGCAGAATTCTCTCTTTGAACAATCATAAACAAGGTCTGATTCAATTGACCTTGATAAACAACTTCCCTAATATGAAACTTATGCCCAGCTTTTTGTCTGTAAATACAGTGGTACTTCGGGATATGAACAGCTCAAAACTTGAGCAGTTATGTAAGTGTATTTATTTAAGTGCTTTTGTAGGTGTATTTTTGGGGGTCTGAAACGGATTAATCTAATTTACATTATTCCTTATGAGAACAAATTCGTTTGGTATCGCCACTCGAACAGTCTTCTGGAATGAATTAAGTTGGTATTCCGAGGTACCACTGTACTTGCCTTTCCAAGTACATTGCCAACTGTCTATTCTTCTGAACATGTGTGACTTGACCTAACCTTACTTTAATACAAATACAGATAATTTATTTCTTTTCTGTAATATGCAAATAATGTAGTTTACATGTAATAAAATATTGTTAGGAACAAAAGAAAGCCACTGGCATTCAGTGCATTTTGGGCAGCCTAATCCTAATGCTTAAAGACCACTTGAAAACTAGAAATAGGTTATTAAGTAGGAGTTTTTAAATGTACAAAACAGAGAGGTATCTATATGAACAATAGTACAGTTTTAAGTATTCATTAATACTTCAAACTGATTCAGTGATCTTCAGTTAAACAGAATTTCTTAAGCAGTTTCAAACTGACCTTGGCAGTATCCTCACGGTCTTATGCCTTATTTGACCAAGCATCTGCCCTTTCCTTTTTTTTTCTCATTCAAGACTTGATAAAGGTTCCAGACAAACTAAACATCATATACTTGTTATTTCCAACTTGTGGATTAGTTTTGAAGGCATGTTAATGCTGTTGGATTAGCATATTAACTTTATTGTGTGTGAATTAAGATTTTTTTTCAGATGAAAATATGATCCTGCTTTTGACCTAAATTAATTTCAAACATACCAGATATTTTACGTGTGTGTGTGTGTGTGTGCGTGTGTGTGTGTGGTGTGTGGGGTGTGTGTGTGTGTGTGTGTGTGTGCATTTTGTGTGTGTGTGTGTGTGTGTGTGTGTGCACGTGCACGCGTGCGTGCATGCGTGCGTGCATGCGTGCGTGCGTGCATGCGTGCATGCGTGCGTGCATGCGTGCGTGCGTGCTCGCCTATTTGTGGTTGCAGGGGTCGAGTCTTAGCTCCTGGCTCCTTCTATATGTGTGCGTGTATGAGTGTGTGTGTGCACATGTGAGTGTGTACTCACCTAGTTGTGGTTGCATGTGTGTGTGTGTGTGTGCATACATTTTTTTTCCTGTGTGTGTGTGTGTGTAATGTTTGTAATTGCCAATTTGAAATTACCCATTTGAAGTTACAGGAGTAGAGCTATATGCTTAGGTGTACTGTCTACTTTAATTTATCACCATACTTAAAACATTTCTAATGGTTTTATCACACACTACCTTCTCTTTTAAGTAATCATCTATTTACATTTATTGGAATGTAGTTTATTGTGATGTATCTATTATTCTATAATTAATATATCATGCATATTTGAAAAGCTTCAGTTAATTTTTGCACTACTTCCTTCTTAGGTGTATGCCATCTATCACTAATCTGTTTGTGAAGCAGTACTTTCTAATGTACTTTCTAATCTATTTCATGTAGCTTATGTATCTACTTGTTTTCCTTGTTGTTTTTTTAGGTCTTTCCTATCCTTTTATGTTTTCTTTCATGTGCTTGAGTGAGGTTATTGTTCTTTCTTTCAATGCACTGGCCGTATCCCACCAAGGCGGGGTGGCCCAAAAAGAAAAACGAAAGTTTATCCTTTTACATTTAGTAATATATACAGGAGAAGGGGTTACTAGCCCCTTGCTCCTGGCATTTTTTGCCGTCTTACGATATGCATACCTTACAGAGGAAGAATTCTGTTCCACTTCCCCGTGAAGATAAGAGGAAATAAACAAGAACTAGTAAGAAAATAGAAGAAAACCCAGATGGGTGTGTATATATAATGCTTGTACATGTGAAGTGAAGGATCTTATCTCACAGTGAGGAAACTTGTTAATCTTGAATTCTAACGGCCACAAATCATATCAGTCTTGTAACTTGTCCATGTCATCCTGCAGCCTTTTTGCAGTCATCTACTGCTTCTATTATCTTTTTGAGCCTCATGTTATTTTACACATTTTTATGTTGGACTCAATCTCTGCAGACAGGTGATTGATATATCTGGAATATTTTTAGTTAAGGAATAAACCTTGGGAATTCCATTTGCTACCTTTTGCAGTGTAAAATTTCCTCTCTATGTCTCCTTGCCTTATGTTTGTCTGGTACAGTACAACTTTAGTGTGAGGTGCACTTTTCTTAATATCCCACCCAATTTTTCCTGTTTTTAAAATTATCACCTTTGTGGTACCATGCCAAGGACTTCCTAATAGTCCAGGAATATGCCATCTAACCTACCTTTCCCTTTCCAATCTTTTTCTGTTAGTTTGTTAACTTACCAGGGTCTCTGCTACCCTATTTCTTATAATCTTCTCCATCAATTTAGAGGGTATATATCAGGGTTATTGGTCTTTAGTTCAGAGTTTTCTGTCTATGAATATTGGTACTACATTCTCTGTTTTCCAGCTGTCTGGTATCTCTCCTGTACGCAGTGAACTGCAGTAGCTGGTCATCAGTGGCTTGTTCAAGCCACAGCCATCTTCCTCAGTACCCAGGGCAAGATCTTGTCCAGTCCAATTGTTTTTTCACATGCAGCTCCTTCAGATATTTCTTTACTGCTGCATCTGCCACCACTGAATACTCCAGTACCCCTTGGGGTTGTACTCTCTCATCTTGGTCTGGCACTTGTCCTTAATCAGTTGTAACAGCCACTTGGAATTGTTGAGTCTCTCATGTACTTCTGTCATTATCTGTTAAATGTTTCTTGCTCTTTTTTTTAAACTGATTTACTGGTCATGCATATGGGTATGTTAG